CATTTTGAATAATTGTGACTATTATAAAATGTGATGTAAGAGTCCGATTGTCTTCAAAGGGACAACATTTTGTTTAACCCAAGGTCTACTGGGAAGATGGAATATATCGATCCACACCTTCTGGTACCTCCCTCATAAAGGATTAAAAATTTTGAAAAGAATTTGAATAACGCAAAAAACATCCGATTCCATTCAGACGTGGCACATCTTAATATTTCTATCAACACAAGATCTGCTATAAAGATGGTAAAGATCGGACAATTTCTTCTGGTACCTCCCACACAAAGGATCAAAGTTTTGATTAATTAAAACGATTATAAAATTCGATTTTATCATATTTCACACATCCCATTATTTTTACAAACACAAGATCTACCTTTAAAGTACCTTCTGGTACTTCCCCCACAAAGTGTTCAAAATGTTGAATATCCATGATACTGATACAATGCCAAATTAACATCCGATTCCATTCAGACTTGGTACATCTCAATATTTCCATCAACACAAGATCTGCTATGGCAGAGATCGGAAAATTTCTTCTGGTACCTCCCCCACATGTGGTTCAAGATTTAAAAAACAAAATGCTCCAACAAAGCGAAATAAGCCCGTCTTCAAAATTAATTCAACTAAATTTTAAATAAATTTAAATAAATACTAAATATTTTTGCTAACGCAAAATCTGATGTGAAGATGATAGACATCTGACAACCCCTTCTAATACCTCACCCACAAAGGGTCACAAAGGGTCAATAATTGTATCTGAGGGTATACATATTTCGGCTTGTTTAAGTGTGAAATAAGAATACTCAAATTTTGCACATCCCAATTTTTCTATCAACTCTAGATCTGTGATAGAATGGACCTCTCCTTCTGGTATCTTCCAACAATAGGACAAATTTTTGAATAGTCATAACGCTCATAAATTCCGAATAAAGTTATCGATTTTCTTCAAATCTAATAATGTGAATATGGGGTACGTCGTTCCACTCCTTCTGGTTCCTCCACCACAAATGGTCAAAATTTTAAAAAGCGTATATTTTATACGAAGACCTTCTGATCGTCCCTGAGAAAACTTTCTGGTCTTCTATAAAGAGGACTTTCTCATCTTTTAGAAGAAAATCTTCTGGTTTTCTTTGCAAAGACCTTCTGGTCGTCTATGTGAAGTGTTTCTATTAATTTCCCATGTCCGTCCAACTTCATGTCCGTCTTCTTGTCTTCTATACGAAGAAGACCTTTTGGTATTCTTCAGGAAAAAAAATCTTCTTTGAACTTGTATAGCAGGAATTCGAAATTTTGTAATTTTGGACTTTATACCCTTAAGGCATATTGCAGAAAGTTTTGGTCATATGGCCAAGTTGTGATATAAGCTTTCAAGAGAGAAAATCACTTTATTTGATTTGAGTATTTCAAGAAAGTACTACGACATGTACGACACCTTTCCTTATATTATCTCTATCTCGATACGAAATAGCATTCAATATTCCATAAAATATATAATTTTACCATTGTGTGAACTTCCGATAAACCCAATACCAATGCTATTAAATATAGCACCATTCAAACTACTTCCATTTCTGTCCTCCCAAACTCAGTATCATTCGGTAGGATTGCTATACTAAGGTGTTCATTTCCAAATTCAGTTTCTTATGTTAGCCACACCACCGAACATTTATATTCATTTAAAGTTTCAAGATTTTACCTCTATCCACTAAAAATTCATTGCGGCACCAAATTAGTAGCTTTTAGTACTTTTCGTTCACTTAAAGTCCGAATGTGCTAGAAAACCTTTCGTATACATCTGCTACTGCAGTGTGTGACTTTTTCCGAATTTTACCATTCATGCCCTATACAGGGTGAGATGAAAAAATTGCAACCAACTTCAGACTCTGTCATTTCAAAGCCACTCGTCCGACAGCTTTTAAAATATTCCAGTGACAGCTCATTATATTGTTTACAAGTGTACAAAAGCATTTTGGTGAGAATTTTCAAAACAAAAAAAAGTTATTCGCGATGGAATTCAAGCGTGATAGTGTGATTTCTTTATATTTCGCTAGAAAACCACAAGTGGGTATCTTTAGAGCACTGCAGCATTTAAATGTGAATAAATCTTTTGTGTCTCGTACCATCGCTCGTTACAGTGATACTGGTAGCGTAACCCGACGTCAAGAAAGTGGACAGAAGAAAACAGCAACATCAGCAGAAATTGTTCGAAAAGTAAAGAAGCGACTTGATCGAAACCCGCTTCGTAGTAGCCGAAAAATGGCTCGTGAGCTGAACATATCACAATATTCCTTTCGGCAAATATTGAAAAGTGAGCTCGGGGTAAAGCCATTGAAATTCCAGAATGTGCAAGAACTTACATCGCAACGGAAAGAAAAAAGACTCAAAAGAGCTAAAGAGTTGCTTCGCTTGGCCGAAAGTGGTGAACTGCCGAATTTCGTTTTCTCCGATGAGAAAGCATTCATTGTCCAGCGTTTTGTAAACAAACAAAATGATCGTGTTAACTTGCCAAAAAGGGGACAGCTGAAAATGTGCACCATCGGTTGGCTACCAGAACGCAAGCCCCGGCCATGGTGATGGCGTGGGCCTTCATAACAGCCGATGGTCGGTCTCCGCTCGTATTAATCGACCGTGGTATCAGAATAAATGCCGAATATTATCGCGAACGTATTCTGGAGGATGCAGACCTCGGAATTTCCAACAGGACTCGACCGTGGCATCAGAATAAATGCCGAATATTATAGCGAAAAAATTCTGGAGGCTGTATAAAAGCCTTGGGCACGCACACCTTGGACATTCCAACAGGACTCTGCACCATCGAATGGTTACAAAATGAGGTTCCTCACTTCATTTCAATCGCGCAATGACCACAAAAATCTCCGGGTACCAATCCGATGGACTATTGTGTCTGGAGTATTTTGGAAAGCAAGGTTGGCACTAAAAAATACCAAAGTGTCGATCACCTCAAGCAAGCGCTTTGCCGGGAATGGACCAAAATACCGCAGAGCACCATTCGGGCAGCGTGTGACTCTCAACTCAAGATCTGTTATAAAGATGGTAGAGGTCGAACCATCCTTTCTGGAGACCAATCCGTTGGACTATTGTGTCTGGAGTATTTTGGAAAGCAAGGTTGGCACTAAAAAATACCAAAGTGTCGATAACCTCAAGCAAGCGCTTCGCCGGGAATGGACCAAAATACCCCAGAGCAACTTTCCAGCGTCTGACGTTTTCATTGGCCGTTTGAAGACCATAATTCGTGTCAAAGGTGACCAATTCGAACAAATCTAAACTTATTCCAAAATTTGATGCTATTTCCGACATGTTTTGATTTCATCCAATAAAATTTAAAAAAAATGTAAAAATTATGGCATTTGACTTTGTTGCAGTCACCCTGTACTTTCACCATATTCAATTGGTACCATATTTCCTGAATATAAGAGCTTTTCGTAACCTGTTGGTTTGAATTTGCAAACTTTTTCGTGTACACCTTTTTGTTTATCATAGGTAGACCTACGTACAAGAGCTCCAATCTTTTAATTTTTAACGTTACCATTACTAATTCCTTTGTGTACTTTTCATATCCTTATAGGAAGTATTTCCAAAAAACCCACGGTTTTTTTTCGCAACTTAGCCCAAAGCTTCTAGATTATAACTTCATATAACTCCAATTTTTATACCCTCAGCCATATGGCTACAGAGGGTATATATCATTTGATACGGCCAAACCGTGCGTAGTCGAAATAACGGTTTTAGACCCTAGGTCTCTTTGGACCAAATCCGTTTCAGAACATTTGGAGTCGATGTAGCGATGTCCACCCGTCCGTCTGTCAGTCTGGCTGGCTTGTGCGCACGATAACTCTCGAAGGGAGTATCCGATTTGGTCCAAATTGGGTACGTCGTAATATTTTTGTCAAACTTAGATCGAGTTCGGAGATGGGCAATATCGGGCAATATGGGCAATACCCACAAAAGGTCGACTTTTTCAAAAATTGTATTTTTTGCACAGAGAGAGAAGGGATAATTTGAATTTGCTCCAACTTTGCAAATCCTAATATTTGCGTCAGTGCTAGGTCAGGTGTGAAAATGGACAATATCGGTCCACTCCATCAAGTACCAACCCCACAAATGGTCAAAATTTTGAATAATTACAACTCTCATAAATTGTGACGTAAGAGTCCGATTGTCTTCAAATTTCACACATCCCAATATTTATATTAACTCAAGGTCTGGTGTGAAGGGGGAATACATCGGTCCACTCCTTCTGGTACCTCCCCCACAAGATATTGAAATTTTGAAATTTAAATAAAACGCCAATTTAACATCCGATTCCATTTAGACTTGGCACATCTGTCGCAATATTTATATCATATTTTTGGATCCGATAGGAAATAGTCAATATTGGTCCATTCCTTCGGGACCTGCTTCATATAGGGTCAAACGTTTGCATAATCTTAACACAAGTCAAAATATATTTAAATAATCGAACATAGGCTGAGGGTATATATCTGGCGGCAATACCGACTGATACTTTTTAACTTGTTTTAATAATGTAGTGAAATTTCTTGTGGAAATATTTATGTTTTATTTTTAATTTCTCAATTCCCCCACATAACTTTCTCTGAACAAAATATTCATAATTGTTACCTTTCGAAAAAATCCACATGTCGTTGCATTTTCTTGTCCAAAAAATATTCGACAACAACTAGATATATGAGTGCATGTTTTCCCATAATTTTTCAATTTTCTGACATAGTCAATTTCCATGAAAAATTTTGGCAAACCAACATTTCATAGTTAACACATCACCCTTCAACTGCGATAACCTTCAAATAATCATTCAACTGCGGCGAAGCTTCACTTTTCAATGACGCCGTGGCAATTTTCCACACAGCACATGTGAGCAGCTGTCAAAGCTTCACAGAATGGCAGGTGGTGAGGAGCCTCCTCCTTTCCCCCCAAAAAAATGGAAATATACAAGTGAAATTTGGTGGCTGACTTACCTTCCGAAACCCGATTTGCCACAGGTGATAACATAAAATTTATCATCGGCCAATTCCAATGTCTTGTGGACACGTACTGCCAGTTGAATGGACCGTTCCTCGGTGCGCTATTTGTTGATAATAAAAATGGACAAAAAAAATAATAAAAATGAACGATTAGCAAAGGGGTCAATTGCTGGAGAGATAGTTAAAATTTAGTTGTTTTTTTTTTTAATTTGGAAAATAAAATTAAATGTGATTTTAATATGGAGATTAAAAAAAAAACAAATAAGCAGATTATATTGTGAACATTATTATGGGCGCTATGATGGTGGTCAGCAGCAGTGTGTTGCAAAAAAAAAATTACATTCCCAAGTGTTTAGGTGAAAATTGTGCATAAAATGGTATTGAATTAAAAGTTAATCTATATCAACGTGTTTCTTGTTATTGTCGTTTTTTATTTGCTATTTATAAATACCTACTTTATCCATAACAGTTTTGATTGTCTTATGCAGCTGTTTGCCGCTGCTGCAACTCCAAGACATTGCTCCGAAAATGAATACAAAGTCATATTTTGGTATGTGTTTCCTCTACTGTGAGACACATTTTATGCCTCTAACATAATGATATAATTGCGAGCAGAAAAAAATATATTCAATTTCCTGGCTTTTCAAAAACGGACCTCATTATAAATATGTGTGTTTTTGTGATTGCTCGTTGCATTCACCTAAAACAAAAGACTTAAGCAACAAACTTGCCATGGAGTTTTCTTGTGGCCATTACATGGACTTTTTTTTTGTTTTTATGTAAAACAAACTGTATTTTTTTCATGCAATTTAAACGCTCTCAAAGCGTTATAATATTGTTCAGCTGTGAAGTTATTTAAACTTCATTCAAAGTGTCTGAGTTAGAGATTAAAAGTTCATTGAAATGTGTGAACAGTTTATAGACACCTCAGGCTAATTGGCGGCGATGATGTTAAGGAGATTATTATAATATTGCGATTTTCCAAGGCTATTTTGAAACTTTCAACAACTCTACTAAATCCTCGTTTACAGGTCTTTAATTGGCTTTGAAAACTCTCAAAAAAAATCCACGTTTTCAGACCTTTAATTGGCTTTGAAAAATTCTTAAAAAAACAGGTTCAAAGGCCTTTAATTGCTTTGAAAAATTCTTAAAAAAAATCCACGTTTAGAGGCCTTTGAAAAATTCTTAAAAAAACATGTTCAAAGGCCTATAATTGGCTTTTAAAATTCTTAAAAAAAATCCACGTTTAGAGGCCTTTGAAAAATTCTTAAAAAAAAACATGTTCAAAGGCCTATAATTGGCTTTTAAAATTCTTAAAAAAAATCCACGTTTAGAGGCCTTTGAAAAATTCTTAAAAAAACATGTTCAGAGGCCTTTAATTGGCTTTGAAAAATTCTTAAAAAAACGGGTTTAGAGGCCTTTAATTGGCTTTGAAAATTCTTTAAAAAATCCACGTTTCCAGACATTTAATCGGCTTTGAAAATTCTTTAAAAAATCCACGTTTTCAGACCTTCAATTGGCTTTGAAAAATTCTTAAAAAAAACAGATTCAGAGGCCTTTAATTGGCTTTGAAAAATTCTTAAAAAACAGGTTCCAGGGCCTTTAACTGGCTTTGAAAATTCTTTAAAAAATCCACGTTTTCAGACCTTAAACTGGTTCTGAAAAATTCTTAAAAAACAGGTTCAAAGGCATTTAATTGGCTTTGAAAATTCTTTAAAAAATCCAGGTTTTCAGACCTTAAACTGGTTCTGAAAAATTCTTAAAAAACAGGTTCAAAGGCATTTAATTGGCTTTGAAAATTCTTTAAAAAATCCACGTTTTCAGACCTTAAACTGGTTCTGAAAAATTCTTAAAAAACAGGTTCAAAGGCCTTTAATTGGCTTTGAAAATTCTTTAAAAAATCCACGTTTTCAAACCTTTAATTGGCTTCGAAAATTCTGTAAAAAATCCGCGTTTTCAGACCTCTAATTGGCTTCGAAAATTCTTTAAAAAAATCCATATTTTCAGACTTTTAATTGGATTTTCAAAAATCCACGTTTAGAGGCCTTTGACTGGTATTAAAAAATCCACATTTACAGGTTTTGCAAAATTTGATTTTTTAAATGATTTTTCAAAAATATTTAAGGTATTACAGCCATAGAGGAGCCGGAGAACAGGTTGAGAAAGTCTTCTAGCAACAGAAGGTCTTCTAGCCATAGAAGAGCTCCCAAAGATATTCTATCAATAGAAGAACTTCAGAAGGCCTTCTCGATATAGAAGAACTGCAGAAGGTCTTCTAGCCATAGAAGAGCTGCAGAAGGTCTTCTAGCCATAGAAGAGCTGCAGAAGGCCTTCTAGCCATAGAAGAGCTGCAGAAGGTCTTCTAGCCATAGAAGAGCTGCAGAAGGCCTTCTAGCCAGAGAAGAGCTGCAGAAGGCCTTCTAGCCATAGAAGAGCTGCAGAAGGCCTTCTAGCCATACAAGAGCTTCGGAAGTTCTTCAAGCCATAGGAAAGCTTTAGAAGGACTTCTACCCATAGAAGAGCTTCAGAAGGTCTTTTACCCATAGAAGAGCTTCAGAGGGTCTTTTATCCATAGAAGAGCTTCAGAAGGTCTTCTACCCATAGAGGAGATTCAGAAGGTCTTCTACCCATAGAGGAGATTCAGAAGGTCTTCTACCCACACAAGAGCTTTAAAGGAGCTTCTAGCCATAGAAGAGCTTCTTTAGGCGTGGATTTTTAAATAAATTTTCAAAAATATTAGGCCTGTCTAAAAGTGAATTTTTTAAAGAATATTTTAAAAATATTTAGACTTTTCCAAAGGTGGGTTTTTTTTAAGAATTTTTCAAAAATATCTAAACCTATCTAAACGTGGATTTTTTAAGAAATTTTCAAGAATATCTAGACTTTTCTACATTTTTTAAGATTTTATTTTTCAAAAATATTTGGACCTTCCTAAAAGTGGATTTTGTAAAGAATTTTTCAAAAATATTTGGATTTTTTAAAGAACTTTTCAAAAATATTTAGACTCCTCCCAACATGATTTTTTTTAATTTTTCAAAAATACTTAGTAGACCTGCCTAAAAGTGGATTTTTAAAAAGTTTTTTTTTTTTTTTTCAAAAATACTTAGACCTGCCTAAAAATGGATTTTCTAAAGAATTTTTCAGAAATATCTAGACCTCTCAAAACTTGGATTTTTAACAAATTAGACCTTCCTAAAAGTGGATTCTTATAAAGAAATTTTGAAAAATATTTAGACCTTCCTAAAAATGGATTTTTAAAGAGAATTTTTCAAAAATATTTGGATTTTTTAAAGAACATTACAAAAATATTTAGACTTCTCAAAAAAGGGATTTTTAAAGAATTTTTCAAAAATATTTAGTCCTTTCCAAAAGTGGACTTTTTAAAGAATTTTTCGAGTTCTCTAAACGTTTATTTGTTAAAGAATTTTACAATTATATTTGGACTTCTCTAAAGGTTGATTTTTAAAAATAGTTAGACCTCTCTAAACTTGGATTTTTAAATTAAAAGAAAACAACGAGACCTCTCTGGGCTTTGATTTTTTAAGATTAAAAAAAATGTAATTGGACTTCACTTTGTACCTCTGTAACCCTTTTTACGTTACAATCGAATGCATGCATTGCGTTGCCATGAAAGCAACAAAACAAAATCTATAACAAATTTGCATTCCACATGCTCCGCTTAGTGGCAGCCTGGCTGGCAGGCTCTCCAACATAATCTATGACCAGTCACAAATAGAACAAATTTATTATGGTTCTTGTTGTTGTTTTTGTTGCTGTTGTTACTGTAGTGTCTAGTTTGAATTTTGGTCGCCGTCGTCATCGTCATTGTCGTGGCCGTCTTAGATATTTTTAATCTAATGGCTATAAAGTCTGTCTGTCATGCTGTGGTTGCCCCAGTGCAACTGGAACACATTCACCACTTCTTGGACGACCTGAATCCAAGAAATAAAAAATGAAACAACAACAAGAGACATGATTGTGTTCCATTCAGAGGTAGTGGAGCTACCTGGAAACATGTTTTTTGGCAATTGTTTCGTTCGTGCATGCTGCTGGATAACAGAACTCTGGCTGCCTGGCTGGCAATTCGTAGTTGGTAAATTGCCAACCAAATGGAGTGACACTCCCTTAAAAAAATACAAGCAGAAATCAGGCAGGCAGGCAACAATTGCCAGACAATACTGAACAACAACAACAACAACAACTATGTTTAGGATTTGTGAGTTTAAACGTTTTTTGCTTTCGCCCCAAAGGTGGGTTGTTGAGTTGAAAGACAGAAACTGCAAGTTTTCTGGGTGCAACAGCAACACACAGACAGCTCACACACACACCCTCATAACTCCTAAACTATAGCAGACAAAATGACCATTTTATGTCTTGGCCACTTAAGACACATGGCCACACCGCACCGGGCATGTGCTGGCCTCAACTAGATAAGCAACAAGAGGTGGCTGGACTTACAAGAAGTAATGTATTTGTCCCCACCCCTCTCCTGGCAATCTGCAAACAACTTGTGGCTCTTATGCCGGCTCTACACCACCACAATGGCACATTTTTTTCAAGATTTGTGTTGCATACGTGAAAACTCAATGACGCACGTTGTTGTTTTTCCAGTTCGAGACGAAATGCTTGTCTGTTGTTATTAATTTGGCCACAAGTGGTTGGCGAAAAAGAAAAAAACAGAGAAAAAATGCATTGGTGTTGGTTGGTAATAATGCAATGCAAAGTAGCCTCCTAAAAGTGGCTACATGTGTGTGCCCTATTCGCCCCGATATTTATTGGATTTGGTTTTCGAAACGAAAATCCGTGACTACGATTTTGTTAATATAAATTAGAGCGTTTCTTGGCATTTGCAGAACATAAATCTAAGGGTAACTTTCACAAAATACAAACCGTTTGAAGGTAATGCAAATTTTTGCAGGTTTGTGTCTTAAGTCTTTTGTTTGTTTGGGGGAATTGGCAAATTGTAGAAAGTAATGAAATATTGTATGGTAAACATGGATAATAGAGGGAAATTATTGAAAGTTTTCCAAAAATCCAGAGGAAAATGTTTTTCAACTTTATTTTGAGTTCTCCAAAAGAACTTCAAATTGTCAACCAACTTCGAAAGAATTTCAAAAGATCTTCAAATCTCCACGTTTGGAGGGCCTCAAAAATTTTTTGAAAAATTCTTTTGGATGGCTTTAAATATTTTTGAAAAATTCTTTTGGTGGGGTCTAAGTATTTTTGAAACATTCTTTTGGTGGGGTCTAAGTATTTTTGAAAAATTCTTAAAAAAATCCACGTTTATAGAGGTCTAAATATTTTTGAAAAAATCTTTAAAAAATCCACGTTTGGAGGGCCTTAAATATTTTTGAAAAATTCTTTAAAAATCCACGTTTGGAGGGCCTTAAATATTTTTGAAAAATTCTTTAAAAAATCCACGTTTGGAGGGCCTTAAATATTTTTGAAAAATTCTTTAAAAAATCCATGTTTGGAGGGCCTTAAATATTTTTGAAAAATTCTTTAAAAAATCCACGTTTGGAGGACCTTAAATATTTTTGAAAAATTCTTTAAAAAATCCACGTTTGGAGGGCCTTAAATATTTTTAAAAATTCTTTAAAAAATTCACGTTTGGAGGGCCTCAAATTTTTTTGAAAAATTCTTTAAAAAATACACGTTTGGAGGGGCCTTAAATTTTTCTGAAAAATTCTTTAAAAAATCCACGTTTATAGAGGTCTAAATATTTTTGAAAAATTCTTTAAAAAAATCCACGTTTATAGAGGTCTAAATATGTTTGAAAAATTCTTTAAAAAATCCACGTTTATAGAGGTCTAAATATATTTGAAAAATTCTTTAAAAAATCCACGTTTATAGAGGTCTAAATATGTTTGAAAAATTCTTTAAAAAATCCACGTTTATAGAGGTCTAAATATGTTTGAAAAAATCTTTAAAAAATCCACGTTTATAGAGGTCTAAATATGTTTGAAAAATTCTTTAAAAAATCCACGTTTATAGAGGTCTAAATATTTTTGAAAAATTCTTTAAAAAATCCACGTTTATAGAGGTCTAAATATTTTTGAAAAATTCTTTAAAAAATCCACGTTTATAGAGGTCTAAATATTTTTGAAAAATTCTTTAAAAAATCCACGTTTATAGAGGTCTAAATATTTTTGAAAAATTCTTTAAAAAATCCACGTTTGGAGTGCCTTAAATATTTTTGAAAAATTCTTTAAAAAATCCACGTTTTGAGTGCCTTAAATATTTTTGAAAAGTTCTTTAAAAAATCCACGTTTTGAGTGCCTTAAATATTTTTGAAAAATTCTTAAAAAATCCACGTTTACAGAGGTCTAAATATTTTTGAAAAATCTTTAAAAAATCCAAGTTGGCCTTAAATATTTTTGAAAAATTCTTAAAAAAATCCACGTTTATAGAAGTCTAAATATTTTTGAAAAATTCTTAAAAAATCCACGTTTATAGAAGTCTAAATATTTTTGAAAAATTCTTAAAAAACCGCGTTTATAGAGGTCTAAATATTTTTGAAAAATTCTTTAGAAAATCCAAGTTTGTAGAGGTCTAAATGTTTTTGAAAAATTCTTAAAAAAAATCCACGTTTGGAGGGCCTTAAATATTTTTGAAAAATTCTTAAAAAAAATCCACGTTTGGAGGGCCTTAAATATTTTTGAAAAATTCTTTAAAAAATCCACGTTTGGAGTGCCTAAACTATTTTTGAAAAATTCTTAAAAAATTCACGTTTGGAGTGCCTTAAATAAATATTTTTGAAAAATTCTTTAAAAAATTCACGTTTGGAGTGCCTTTAATAAATATTTTTGAAAAATTCTTTAAAAAATCCACGTTTGGAGGGCCTTAAATATTTTTGAAAAATTCTTTAAAAAATCCACGTTTGGAGGGCCTAAACTATTTTTGAAAAATTCTTAAAAAATTCACGTTTGGAGTGCCTTAAATAAATATTTTTGAAAAATTCTTTAAAAAATCCACGTTTGGAGGGCCTTAAATATTTTTGAAAATTCCTTTAAAAATACACGTTTAGAGAGCCTTAGATATTTTTGAAAATTCCTTAAAAAATCCACGTTTGAAGGGCCTTAAATATTTTTGAAAAATTCTTTAAAAAAATCCACGTTTGTGTGGCCTTAAATATTTTTGAAAAATTCTTTAAAAAATCCACGTTTGGAGGGCCTTAAATATTTTTGAAAAATTCTTTAAAAATCCACGTTTAGAGGGCCTTAAATATTTTTGAAAAATTCTTTAAAAAATCCACGTTTATAGAGGTCTAAATATGTTTGAAAAATTCTTTAAAAAATCCACGTTTATAGAGGTCTAAATATTTTTGAAATTTTTTTAAAAAATCCACGTTTATAGAGGTGTAAATATTTTTGAAGAATTCTTTAAAAAATCCACGTTTATAGAGGTCTAAATATTTTTGAAAAATTCTTTAAAAAATCCACGTTTATAGAGGTCTAAATATTTTTGAAATTTTTTTTTAAAAATCCACGTTCATAGGAGTCTAAATAGTTTTGAAAAATTCTTTAAAAATTCACGTTTATAGAGGTCTAAATATTTTTGAAAAATTCTAGACTAGAAGACCTCCTGCAGCTCTTCTATGGCCAGAAGTCATTCTGAAGCTCTTCCATGGCAAGAAGACCTTCTGCACCTCGTCTATGGCAGAAAGACCTTCTTCACCTGTTCTATGGCTTGAAGACCTCCTGCAGCTCTTCTAGGGCTAGAAGACCTTCTGCTGTTCTTCTATGGCTAGAAGACCTTCTGCTGTTCTTCTATGGCTAGAAGACCTTCTGTTGTTCTTCTATGGCTAGAAGACTTTCTGTAGCTCTTCTATGACTAGAAGACCTTCTGCCGCTTTTCTATGGCTAGAAGTCCTTCTGCAGCTCTTCTATGTATGAAAGATTTCATGAAGCTCCTTTAGGTTTAGAAGACTCCTGAAGCTTATCTATGTATAGAAGACCTCCTATTCTACTGGTAGAAGAACTTCTTAAGATTTTCAATGGCTACAGAAGTTACCCATTTTTTGTCTTGAAGCTCAGATGTATCTCTGTTAAGCCACTAACATCTCGATATGGAGTTCTTTTGTGATTCGAAAGACTTGTTCAGCTTTGCATTGATCGAAGGCTTTAATCTCTCTCACTCTCTTTTTCTCTCTTTACAAATTTCAAATTTTAATAACTCTCTCTTCCTCTTCCTCTCCCTCTCTCTCTCTCTCTGTCTCTCTCTCTCTCTCTCTCTCTCTCTTTGTGCATTTAGTGTGATATTAGATTGTTAATTGGTTAGCTTACATTTTGTCCACTCACGTTGCTGACTAGAACCCCACAGTAGTCCGGTGAACCATCTTTGGCCAACAAGTTGAGACTGAATCCCACTGAATCGGAGCCATCACCCATGGCCATGCAGGCTGGTGTTCGATAATCACGAGCATGAACAGCACCACTATATGGTCCGTCCAATTTCACTTTGATGTTCATGGTGCCCGCTTTACAGGTGGCCGATACACGTGGGGCAAATTCTGTTGAAGCTGTGGAGTCCTGGGCGGAAATCTGCAAAGGAAAGGGAAGAGAAATGTTAGAACGAAATTTGAATTTTCGGAAATACATTGGTTAGATTGTGAAATAAAGATTTTATTTGGGAAATAAAAAGAAATAATAATAATTCCCTTCCACTGACTCCAGGTAGCCTGGGTAACTGCTGTAATTTCTAACCTGCTGAGATTTTGAAAAATAAAAGTTTATTTTTACTCATCCTCTGACAACATAACGACGACGACGGTGGCGGCGATGATGATCATGAAGATGGTCATGATTCATAACAATTACAAAGCCACATGACATACATTCTTCATGTGTGATCATCTGGCTTTTTTACATATCGACGGGTGTGTCTGCGTCAGATTCAGGCAATAAATTTTGTTACTACTTTGGGGATTTTCAAAACAGTTGGCGGTCATTAATCCATTAAGTCATGTTCTACATAAAGTTTAGTGCCTAGGAGTGCTTCTTCTTCTGTTGCTACTTTTAATGGATAATTTTCCAGATGTTCAAGATGAGGATGATGATGATTTACAAGTTAGGCCTCTTCCATTTGTTCTTCGTTTGCCAGCCATTAAAGTCATGCTTTACCTGTCTTCATCTCTAATTAATGGTCCAGCCTTTTTGGAGGCTGAGAGGGTAAATTCAATTAACTTTTTTTAATTTTTTCTTTGAGTACTTTTATTGATGGTGATTCTTTGCTTTGAAACGTACGATTGGGAACAAGTGAAATAATAGATTTTGTGAGAATTTTGTTCGGTCTGATTAGAAGGTGGCGCCCAACCAAAATTGATTGGATGATAGATAGATTTTATTTGGCCTAAATATTTAGTGTTCCGAAAAAAAGGCACTAATGAAGTAGAAGAACATAAATGACCTACATAGAGGTCTCTTACAGGCTCTCTAGTAGTAGAAGACATCTGGATATAAGACATCTGTATAGAAGATTTCTCGAAAAAAGTTTTATTTCCGTAGCAGGTCCTTAAAACCTTTTTTGAGATGTATTCTACGCTCTTCCATTCACATAAACTCTGCAAATGTTCTTAAATTTAATGGAGAATGCTGGTCAATAGCTCTAGACCCCATATGGGTATTCTACTGATGCAAGGCTAAATGTAAGACCTTTGAGGTTTTCTGCAAATTGTGGACTTTCTGGAATCTCTTAGAGGTTTTCAACAGAGTAATGACATTCTAAAGGGTCTCTAGAAGTCCGTAATAGATAACGAATTTCCCAGAGGTCTCTACACAAGCTTTCATAGACCTTCGGAACCTTTCGAAACATTTTATTATTCATGTATTCTGCACAAAAAAATAAATTTTAATAGTCAAATATGCAATGAATAACTCAAAGAATACCTTTCAGATTTATTTTGTACGTCAAAGAACTTACAAAGGCCCTGTATAAGTTGAAACCCTGTGAAAGGCGTCAATGTCCAAAAAAATTCCTTGAAAGTTCTTTATTTTTAGAAACCCTTCTCAAAGTTTCAGTTATATAGTAACTTATAGAATGTACCTGTAAATAAAAATATTTTGAAGAATTGTAACTAATTAAGACCTTCCAGATATTATTTTAACATTGAAAACCTGAAGCGCTCCTGCGAAAAGAAGACGTTCTAAAGTTTTCCTATGATTTGAAGACTTTGTGAAGCACTCACATGGCTAGAAGGTCCTCTGGAAGAACTTCTGAAGTTCGTCTTTAATCAGAAACGTTTTGAAGCAAACCTATACAAAGGTTTGAATTTATTCTTTTGATAAAAAGGCCTTTTAGTAACTCTCATATGCCTCAAATACCTTCTGAAGCCTTAGAAAGCCCTTAGGGCTAATAGACTTTTCAAAGGTCTTTTATGACTGGAAGACTTTCTAAAATTATTCTATGGCTAGTAGACCTTAGGAAACTTTTCTATAACTAGAAGATTTCTTAAAGCTCTTCTATAACATGAAGACCTTTTAAAGCTCTTTTGCAGCTGGTATATCTTCTGAGGCTTTTCTATAATATTTGATATTATAGAATATTAACATTGAAGTACATTCATAGATAGAATACTGTCTAAAGCTTTTCCATGGTTAGGCGAAATTCTGAAGCTCTTTTGAAGTCACATGAATTTCTGCTGCATTTCTATATCTTGAACATTTTCTAGACCCCTTTCTAAAGCCCTTCTCTACTAGAAGACTTCGAGAGCTATTTTTATTGCTCGAAGGTCTACTGTATAGATAAGAGATAATCTGCAGTTCTCTTTTGGATAGAAGACCTCCTGAAGCTTTTCTTTGACAGGTAGTGTCAGCTGGAAGACATTGCAAAGCTCTTCTATAAGTATAAGTACAAGGTGAGAAAACTGCGACCAACTCCAGACTGCAGTCATTCCTAAGCCACTCGTCCGACAGCTGTTAAAATTATTCCAGTGACAGCTCATTATATTGTTTACAAGCGTACAAAAGCATTTTTGTGAGAATTTTACTGGTAGCGTAGTCCGATTTCAAGAAAATTGACAGAAGAAAGCAGCAACATCAGCAGAAATGGTTCGAAAAGTAAAGAAGCGACTTGATCGAAACCCGCGTCGCAGTGGCCGAAAATTGCCTTGTGAGCTGAACATATCCCAATATTCCATTCCGCAAATATTGAAAAAATGAGAAAAAGAGCTAAAGAGTTGCTTCGCATGGTCGAAAGTGGTGAACTGCCGAATTTGGTTTTCTCCGATGAGAAAACATTTGTTGTCCAGCAGTTTGTAAACAAACAAAATGATGGTGTTTACTTGCCAAAGTGGTCAGCTGAAAATGTGCACCTTCCGCCGGCTATGGTGATGGTGTGGGCCGAAATAAAAGCCGATGGTCGCTCTTCGCTCGTATTAATCGACCATAGCATCAGAATAAATGCCGAATATTATAGCGAAAATATTCTGGAGGGTGTATTAAAGCCTTGGGCACGCAAACATTTTGGCCACAGACATTGGACATTCCAACAGGACTCAGAACCTTCGGACTCAACACGCGCCACCCAAGAATGGTTACAAAATGAGGTTACTCGCTTCATTTCCAGTGCACAATGGCCACCAAAATCTCCGGATACCAATCCGTTGGACTATTGTGTCTGGAGTATTTTGGAAAGACAGGTTGGCACTAAAAAACACCAAAGTGTCGATCACCTCAATCAAGCGCTTCGCCGGGAACGGGCCAAAATACCGCAGAGCAACATTCAAGCAGCGTGTGACGGTTTCATGGGCCGTTTGAAGGCCATAATTCGTGCAAGAGGTGACCAATTCGAACAGATCTAAACTTATTCTAAAATTTGACGCTATTTCCGACCTTTTTGCTTTCATTCAATAAAATTTAAAAAAAAAAAAATAAAAAATTATGACTTGTGACTTTGTTGCAGTTTTTTTTATCTCACCCTGTATATGAAGCTCTTCCGTAAATTGAACACCTTGTGAAGGTCTTATATGGGTAAGTAAGCGTTTAAAGCTCTTCTTTGGCTAGAATATCTCTTGAAGCACTTCTTTGGTTAGAAGACCCTCCTTCGTGGACAGGGATGCATTCTTGGATAGGAGCATTTCTTATTTTTTCACGGTAATAAAACCACCTAAGGCTTTTTCATTGTTAAAGCTCTTCTATATGAAGTTTCTTGTGTATTGAATTATAATAAATAAAGGGTGATGTTTTAAGAACTATAGGAACGTTTTTTTAAAGCATGAAGTCTTAATATAAATTTATAGTACGATCCATATAAATGTCTGTAGATAATTTCATGCAAATATTGTCAATCCATGACTGAACGCGATTCATGTTTAAATCATAGTTCAAACTGAAGATGTTTTACAGTGATAAAAAAACACGAAACATGTGGGGGCTGTTTAAGCCAGTGTTGCCAAAAAAGATAAGCTAAAAAAATCACCCTTTATTATGACAAATAATTGCAAAAGATCTTATTATACCATATTTGTAATTTTGGCTTAAAAATTGTGAGATGCGCCTAAAAGTATGCTAGTAAAGTGCTAAATATAACTCCACATTTATTGAGAACATTATACTCTCTCTTTGCACATCTCTCTTAAAATTTTCAAGTTTGTTTCTTAAATCTTTTGTTTTTCATGCAGTGCTTATATTTGCACGTGTCTAGATTTTCGGCCGTATTAAATTAAATTGTTTTCTTAGAATCGATATTTGAAAAAATATAACCCAATGACAAATCTGTAGTAAAAATGTAAATTGACTCTTTTTTCATGTTGTTGTACATATTTGAATATCATATTGATTCGTATTCCTTGAATTCTATAATGATTTTCTACGCATTTTGCCAAGGAATGGAATAACATTTATACAAACAAATATAAATTCTATCTCAACAATTCCGGACATATTCTTCATTCCTAAGAACAAATCGATTCTAAGATTTTTTGCAAAATATTTCCTTGCAACCCCATGTGCTTCCCAAAACTTTATCGTTCTATTTGCTTGTGAATTGTTCTATTTTCACACTTTTGTAAAACATTTAAAACCTCCATGATTCACTCTCATCATTAAACAAATTCTACGAATTTGGTAATTTTAAATTTTATTCCAAAAAATGAGTAGACATTTTTCGTTGAAACAGCTGTACATCTGAATGGTATTTCTTGTTCGAGTCTAAAAATAATTGATATTTATCTTGGTCTGCTCTACCCACCCCATTATCTTTTCTAAACATTTTGTTTTGTCTTAGCTCCACACACACAAGACAGTTAGATGGCCAAACAAAGCACCGTCGTCTCCTAACCTCCCTTTTCCTAAAGCGGCAAAAAACAAAAATCAAACAATTTAAATGAAGCTTAAACGAACTGCTAGCCAGCCAGCCAGCAGCTCTCCAAGAAATGACGAAAGAACTGTTAAAGCTTTGCGATTGCGTACCCTCGGTGAGCAGTCATTACTTGATTTGGTTGTTTTCTTGGTTGCTGTGTGGCTGCTGGGCTAGATCGGGGGTAACGAAAAAAGGCAATGTCGAAAAGCATCAACATCAACATCAGCATCGAATTTGAATTCCA